TCCCAACCCAACCTGTGCTCACAGCAGGTGTAGCTCACAAGGCTGTGCCTGTCTCCAGTAGTTCTGGTGGTCCCTTGAGGGCTCTCCCTACTAGGGTGCTCCCTAAGTAAAGCGGGAGAATACTTGTTAAAAAAATGGCTTGCAGACATGCACAAACAGGAGGTCTGGCCTGAACAAATAGGCAGAGCTTTCCCTGACTTCAGACCAAGAGATTGCAGATGCTTAAGATGCAGCATGGCTTTTCTTCTCATGCATTAGAGCAAAATGGGAGTGGGGAGATAACCACCCAATAGCATAGCCCTTTAGCTGGGGGGCTTGGCAGCAGTGCAGATGGGAACAAACAGTGAAGCAGATAGAGAAATAAAGGCACCATCAAAACAACCCTGAGACATTTGTCTTCAAAGCCCATAGCCAGACTGTAGACACTCTAGGGAAGGCATTAATACCTGTTTGAATGGCAGAGGCTTCAGGTTTGCTCCAGACCATCTAGGTTTATTACCATCATTTTACCAAGCACTGCCTGGTGCCTGAGCTGTGATTTTTGCCATTCAGTTTGGGCTCAGGTGCACAAACACAGCTCTAGCTGCCTGGCTGGCACAGACAGAGATGGGCACTGCTCCGCATTTGCACCAGCAGCATCAGAGGGAAGCTCTCACCCAGAGCTTTGAGTCAGCAGAGTAGGATGACACAGAAAAAGGAAATCACTGCATTGTCCTCCTGCTTACCTCTGTGCACAGCTCTGCCCTCCCACAGCCCTGGCTCTTGGCCGGGTTACTTTGGCCAAGGGAGCCAGCAAGGAGTGGCTGCCACCTGGCAGACCCCTCACCCGGCCCCTCTGGCTGGAGCCTGCCCCCACCTCCCCCTGAAAACTCACAAGCCGATTAAGCCCAGCATGTTAATTGGCTGTGACAGCTCATTTTGTTATCTTGCAGTTCATTATTGATGGAGTGCATGTGACTGGATTCCCAGCAAAGGTCAGTGCCAGGCCTCCCTTTCTGCCTGGCCAGAACGTGGGCACAGTAGGGCAGCAGCTCTGAGAATGGCACTGGTCATGCCGTGCAGCACCCTGCAGGGGGATGTCCCATGGCACCGGGTAGCTTCACCTTGGCTTCTCAAAAGAACAGGGGTAAAAGGGGCAGGAGCGGGGAGGGAGGTGTGCACTGGAGGCCTAGGAGGATGCAGTGGTGTGCTTTGGCTAAAAGCTCCAAAACTAATGTTCTGTCCCTCTGTCTCCCTCCTCAGCATCTGCCGGGTCTGTTGCCCAAATGCAGCACGACATGAGAGTTCATTAGTGAGGAGCAGGACGAAATCGTTAGGACCGATGGATCCCTCTGAGCGAGAGACATCGATCAGCTGCAGGTCAAGGAGAAAGTCAGGGACAGAGCCGGTGGGGTGCAGGCGTGGGGAGTTGGGTGTGTAGCTGCTCTGTGAAAGCTCTCAGGCCAAGTACAGAGCAGGGGGTACAGAGACTGGCCAAACCCCTCTTTTTGTATGCTGCCCTGCCCCACTTTATCCCTCTGGGAAAGCAGTGTGTGTTTCCAGATCTGGTGCCCTCAGCAGCCCAGAACTGTGGTACCCCCAAGCAGCCAGCAGAGAGAGTGCTACCTGCCCATACCCACCTGTATGTCCCCAAACACGAGGGGCAATAAGGCAACTATGGAATCTTGGATAACCATCAAACCTTCCCACCTCATTGCCACCTCCTTTAGTCACCCCAGCATCCTGGAGCCTTGGGGATGGCATCACCCCACTCTTCAGGGGAAGGTTAAAGTGGGCATTGTTGCTCGTTGTGCAATTGGAAATGCTCATTAATGCGGCCTATGAGAGCATGCCGGTCTCTAGGCTCCAAGGAGACAAACCTTGCAGTCTGTTCTGTCTCACTCCTATCAGCTTGTTAAGCACATCTGTATGCACACAGTTACTCTCTGCACAGCTCTGCTCTGCTCTGCTGACAGGTATTTATTTAAAGCCTGGCTTGACTGTGAGTGGGGGCTGCTTCCTCCCTGCCAGGAAGGTGGCACCTGCCCCTGTGCACACCAAACCCAGGCAAGACAGGCAAATGTTGTGGTTTCCATGCATCCTGAACAAGGTTCTGGTGTTTCTAAAGGCATTCCAAGGCCTTGAGATGGTGTCTGTTGTATACAGCTCTTGCTGTGGACACAGAGGTAACACCTGGCCCTACTGAGCCCCTGCAGATGCAGCCTCGGAACTGAGCTGACAGCAAAGTCCTCAGGGCTGCCATGCTCCTTACTTTGTCCTGAGTTCCATCACTGCTGGGTGCAGCTGACCTTTGGGAATTTTGCCTGGCAGCTCACTGGGCAGGTTATTGGTCTGGTTTTTGATCAAAATTCTCCTGTTCTGCCACAGTGGAGGAGCTGCGAGTGAATGAAAAGAGAAACTTGAATGGAGCCCAGAGATGTGTGAGAACAATTCGTTGGGGCCCTTGGCCTAAGGCAGAGCTTGCAGCCAGGATGGAAAATTACTGCGAGCCCTATGCTGCAAGGGCAGGAGGCAGCCACAGCTGGAGGCCTGCCAGCACTGCCACGAGAATGGTGCTGCTGTCAGAGAGTGTGGCCGAGTGTGACCGTCGGCCGAGTGTGTGCCCATAGCTTTCTAAGGGTTCCAGAGATTTGGGTGCCCTTGTGCATTGCCTGTTTCCAAGAGTGTTTTAGGAAACAGGCCCTTCTCATGCATCTTACCCATCGCTGATTCTCCTTGTTTCTCCCCTTTCTGAACGCCTTGACCAAAATAGCCTGTCACAGATCCTGGGCGGAGCAAAGTGGGACCAGCAGCCACGCACTCTGAACAACATTATGATTTAAGGTTGACAATAAAAACATCACACTCATGCGCAACTGGGGCTAAATTTAGTTCTGATCCTTAGCACATCATCACCGGACTGCGTGTGCCTGGGGGCAGAACCTAATTCCTGCTCGATAAAACCTCATTGAGCGCAACCATCCCCTGCCTGGAATGTGTGCAGCCATCACGTCTGCCCCACATCAGTCAGGACTGTGCCACCCCAGCCCCCTGCTCCCCATCCACCTGCCCCATGCTCTGCCATGTGGCATAACCATTTGGTTTGAGGATGGGATGCTTCTCAAACAGCTGCAGCCCAGCTTCAGCATCATCACCCGCAGCGACATCTCTGGGCGAAGGGCTTCCCAGCTCTTTGGTGCCACCAGGAAAAGAGCAAACAGCAGAAAACAGCACAAGTCTGCATACTGCATCCCTGACCCTCCAAGAGTCCTTGTCCACAGCTGTGACCTCCCTGATGCCATCTCCACAGCCAGACCTTGGTTTGACTGCCTCGCTGTCATGTGGCTGAGATGAAAGTGCGTGAAAAGCCATGTGGAAAATGCCACATTGACCTGCAGAGAGAAATGTGGAAAAATCCATGCTGTAAAACTCCCTTTAAACATGCAATTGAGGGTGCACACCACGTGCATGCAGATTCCAAACCCCCTGCACAGGGTTATGCTGCTGCCTCCAGCTCAGTGCATGGAAAGCCTATGCTCTCTCCATACCCGATTAATTGTGCAATTATTCCAGCCATATGGCCATGCTCCTTTGGCAAGGTAGCATCTAAAAGCTCTTATTTGGTCAAGTTGAACTTTGTGCAGAGAGGATAAATTCCTGGTGTGACAATCATTTCTTCCTGTAGGAATCCCTGGCAGTTAGAGGTTTGCATTTGCACATTTTTATCGAGAGGATGTGACTCCTTCATATCCCTGCTCAATTCCAAGGAGAACCATTTGCTGTGGTGTAAGAGGCAGCCCTGAAGGCAGAGAAGAGCCCAGGGGGCAATGAGCCAGCTCCTGGCTGAACACCCCCCATGCTCCCCAACATCCCATTGAGGTGAGAAGGTGAACACAGCCTGGCAGGCAGAACTACTGGTGACTCAACAGGAGAGGCTGAAGTCAGCTGGAAGCTGGTTGCCATCCAGCAAGCCTGGGACAAGCTGTCAGAACAGATGTACCAGGGATGGAACAGACGTGTGCCCCAGCCCTGCTGTGGGATGAGCTGCACTTGTGTCTGGGCTGTACAGGAGGAGTGCTGGGAGTGCATCCACTGCAGTCCTGGAGTTTAGGGTTGGGAGAAAACTTGTGTGAGAGTTTGCTAACAAGACTCTGCATCTACCCTCTCAAGCTGATGGGTTTGGGAACCCCAAAAAGTTCCCAGTCCAGAGGCAGCTGAGGCCTGCATCCCGCTGGTCCCCAGAACTTCCAGGATAGGGGTTGTCTCCCAGATTCCAGCACCAAAATCCCAACCCTGGTGCAGCATCTTGTGTGGTTTAGGAGACCCTCAGCCTCAGCTAAGCTGAAGAAGTCCATCAAGGAGGAGTGAGTGATGGAGTCCTGGCCCCAAGGGGCAGCCTGCAGGATGCTCAGCTTTTCCCACCTGAGCCACTCCAGCTGAAGGAAAATAAATTAAAACAGTACCAAAGAAATATATGGGAAGGAGCAGTGGCAGGACTGACCAGAGCAAATATAGTGTTGCTACCTTGCTGCCTTGGGAGCCCTTGGGCTCCTCCACAGTCCTGAGCACTGCTGTGAGGGTGATGGGTGATCCTCCTTTCCCAAACACCGCTATCCCACAGCTCCTTGTAGGTGTCTGGGGATCATCTCCATCCCAGCCATGGTGTCATCTCCTGGGTGACCCCTCAGACCCTCTCTATCGCCATCCCCACTCCCTGCCCCCTGACTCCTTGGCCATGCTGTGGGGACACCCATTGCCCAGGTCTCCCTTATTGCAGGACCTCCCGGGCCTTTTGACCATCGTGGGGACCCCCACCCTGCTCAGCCGTTACAGCCCCTTTCCTGGGGCACAGCTCTTCCCCTAGACTTCTCCCACATCTTCCATCGCTGCACCCCACTCCTTTTCTCGCACAGCCCCCCGCGCTCCCCGCAGCTCCACAGTTGCCCTTTAGTTCCCCCCTCCCTCGTTCCCATTATCCGTCCGTTCCCGGCCCCGCTCCCGGCCCCATCCCCGGCCCCGTCCCTCCTCTCCGGCCCCGCCGAGGGGAGGATCCGCTCCCCGGGGCCGTGCCGCCTCGCCCCTGCGCCGCCCTGCGCTCTCCGCTCCGCTCCTCTCCGCTCCTCTCCGCTCCGGCTCCGCTCGCTCCCCGCGCCGGGGCCGCCGGCCCGGCATGAAGGTTCTCCGGCACAAGATCGAGCTGCTCACAGGTACCCGAGCCCCGGAGGCACAGCGGGGCCGCGGGTCGCGCTGCCGCATCCCTCGGGCTGGGGCTGAGCTTCGCGGTGGCTCCGTTCCCTGCTGCCGCAGCCCCCGGCCGTGCCCTCGGGCTCGGGGCGCTCGTGGCCCCGGGTGGGCTGGGGAAGTAGGAGGGCTGCTGGGGTCCTCTTGCGGGGCTGCCGGAGCATCCCTACGGCTCACCCTCGGGGCCAGCAGCCCGGCTGCCAGCTTCCCCGATGAGTCTCGACCCGGCTTTGGGGGATTTGTCCTGGGCCGGCGGGGTGGGAGGGGGCCCACGCTGTGCTCTGTGGGGTTTTCCAGCAGCCCCGTTCGTTTGGTTTCTCCCCCCACCCTGTCTGCTGCACGCTGCTCCTTTCACCCCGAGGAGCCATGCCAGCACCCCGGGATGCCACAGCCATGCTGGGCAGCACACGGAGAGCAGCAGGGAGGACCCTGTGGGTCCCCCTGCCTTCTGGACACCGCTGTTAAACTCTTCCTGCGGCCTCACTGGGATGAGAAGTATAACAGTTGGCAGTAATGCATTTCCTCGCCGTATGCTGGTTCTCCTTCCATAAGTGAACACTGGGCTGCAGGTTCCCAGGGAAGGCAAAGCCAACGGGGCTGCCTCCATCTGCATCTCCACACGCGGTGCCAGGGCCCCACAGGGCAGAGCCGCAGCAGCCGTCTGCATCTCTCTTCCCTGGCTCACCCCTGGAAGATGCAGGGGAAAGGCTGTTTGCAAGGGTTCATGCTGGCATGCTGTGAGAGCCCAGAGTTGGGTGGTTGCTGGGCACGTGTCTGATCCATAGAAAAGAGTGAAATGGAAAGGGGTCGCTTAAATTGCTCCTGGCAGTGCACACGGAGTGTGTCCTATGCAGCAGTGCCTTCAGGGGAGCAGCAGTGTGCTGTGCTCCTGGCCCTCAGCTGCTGCTTGGCTGAGCAGGTGGATGATGCCGTGCTCTGTTTGGGACTGGTTTGGCATTAGGGAGGAGATGTGTCCCAGCTCTGCCCAGGACATGTTGGCACCACGTGGGGAAGGCAGAGTGGGAACACCTGGGGAGGGATGCTGCTGAGGAGTATTGGGATGAGTTGGAGGGAAAAGTGCTCACTGCCAGCCCTGGTGGCATCTCCCTGGCCATCACATTCTGGGCAGGTTGGAGTTGGGCAGGACTTGGAGGGTCCCCATGCTGCCACTGGCTGGGACCTCAACTTGGGACTTCCCACTGGCACTACTGGGGCACCCCCTGGAAGACACGGTGTGGCTGTGATCCTGCTGCGGGGCTGTGGCATCCTTGGGGCTCCCTGTTACAGAGATCCCAAGGCTGACCCTTAGCTCCTCTCCAGCTCCCAAGCCCGAACTGCTCCCAAGGGCCGTCGTTCTGCACTGAAGATGCTGGTTCTCATGGGGTTCTGCCATGTCCCCTATGGGCTGATGTTCCTCCCCACCACACACCAAGATCACGGGGCTGTTCCTCATCACTCAGCCTCCCTCCCTCTGATTATCAGCCATAGGCTTTAATTAACAAAGACACCGACCGTATGCTAAGTGCTGTCCCCAGCCGCCCTAGGACTGCGGCCACGCAGCGGTCGGCGTGGTCAGCGCACGGTTCTCCTGCTCTCTTCTAGACCTGGCGCCTGGTGAGGCTGATTTCCCCCACTTTTTAACCTTCCCTCCCTTGAGATGGGGCACAGGGCTGGAGCCAGTGTGGGACTGGGACTGCAGGAGCTCTGGGAGGCTCTGCGCTGGTGCTTCTGCTTCGAAACCTCCCTGGTTTGTTGGACTGCTCCCAGAGAGCAGAGCAGAGTGTGATTTCTGCAGAAAGCAGCCAGGTGGCAGAGCCCGCTTGGTTTTTCAGCTGAAAACTCAGTTGGATTAGCAGAACACAGCTCTGGAGGGAAGCTTATAATCAGTTCTGTGTTCTGGGTGGCTGGGGCAGGGGTGAGCACGCCCTGTGATGTTCCTGTAGTTCTGCATTTCTGCACCTCCAGCTTGGGCTGCCTCAGGTGTGGTGCTGAGCAAAGCATGCAGCAGGCCTGGCTGAGGCTGCTGATGGAGCAGGGTCTGCTTCTGCCTGGTGCTGGCACAGCCCCCGTCCTCGCTGGGCTCCATGGAGAGATTGGGTGGGAAGCAGCAGGAATATGGCTGGAGGCTTGGTGCTGGGGAATGGGTGGCAGTGGACAGTGGGAGCTGCTGGAGACCCAACCTGTGCATACACAGGGCAGCCTGCACTGTCTCTGTCCCCATTCCCCTGTCTGTCACTGTCTGAGTGTGGCCAGCTACTGTGCAGCCCTTCACTCCCCTTTGCTTTCTGAGCTGGGCTGACACTTGGGGATATGTTGGCAGTGCTGGTGTTAGGATGTACAAAGCCTTGGTGCCCTGCTCAGCAGCGCACAGCACTACACCTGCTGTGAGGACCATCCCTGCAAGCCCTGTATCTGAGCTGCCAGCTGGCCAGCACTTGCTGTGCAAGTGAGGGGAGGGCTGTGTGAGTAAAGGCTCTGGGTTTGGTTTCCTCCCATCATTGCCATACCACCTTCAGGTGGTCTCTGTGCTCCCTGACAGAGCCGTTCCTGCTGCTCAGAGCATCCCTGTGTGGCTGAGAAATGTTACACCTTGGTCTGGCTCTGCAGGGAGGTCTCCCTTGCTCCCACCCTTTCTGCCCACAGCCTGCACGCAGCTGAAACATTGACCCGTCTCTCTGGCCAATGCTGGAAGCTGCCATGGAAATCAGACCATTGTCGCCCCGGGCTGCGTTCTTGCAGGGTGACCAGCTCTGACAGACACACTGCTCTCCCAGTCTGCCTGAGTCCTTAACTGGGAGAGCTGGAGCTGGGCAGGAGCTGAGCTCCTGCAGGTGCTGCCAGCCCTCACTTCCATTCCTGGCCCCAAAGCTGGGTTTCCTGCAGCCCCTGGCCAAGCCAGCACACTGGGCCCCGTTGGCTAAGTGGATGGGAGCTGATTTGGCATTCTGGGCAGAAAGGCTCAGGGAGAGCTGAGGGACACCAGAAGCAGGACCCAGCAGGGTGCTGATGTCTCCTTCCCCTCGGACAGGGCTGCTGCTGCAGGAGATGACCATGGCGGGGCTGCACGAACTGCGCTTCACTGAGGAGAAGCCACTGCTGCGTGGCCAGGATGCTGAGCTGGTGAGTTGGGGAACAGCTCTGGCTCCAACCCCGCGTGTTGGCTGCCAAGACGTGGACACTGGTGTGCTTCAGCCCTCAGTATCTAATGGCTCTCCTTCTCCCACAGGAGAACTCGGATGTGTTCCTCTCTGCTGCTGACACAGACTGGAAGGTAGGACTGGCTGTAGTGGAAGAGGAGTTGTCTCTTGCCCCAGAGCTTGGGGCAGGCAGTGGCTGCTTGGTACTGGTGCTGTGGGAAAAGGCCATGGCTGTGGGTCTGCCTGCAGAGCCCCTGGGGACACTGGCCTGGTGCCTACTGCAGCACTTGGTGCTGGCGGTCGGATGTGGCTGGTGGGCACTTGGCAGTGAGCCGGGGACAAAATCTTTTTAGGACTGGTGTTTTCTTCTAAAAACCAAGCTGCTTTTCCAGCCCCTCTGCCATTGCCATGGCAATGGTTCCCTGGGTGATGCAAGCTCCCCAGTTACATAAGGGTGGGTGAAAGTGTCTTTCTCTTTATGGGAGGCAGGGCACTGCCCCTGTCCTGCCCAGCTCTCCTGAAGCAGCCTGGCCTTGGGGTGCCAGGCAGCAGGAGGCTGTGGCGTGAGTCCCTGCAGGTTCTGCTTGTGCCTGGTCCCAGCTTGTGTTTCAGTCCCCACTTCTGTCTTGGGCTCAGCCTGTGCTGTGCTCCCCTGATGTCAACTGGGGTGTCAGTACACAGGGATTGGGATGTGGGCTGCTGGTCCCTGGCTTGTTGCCTGTCCCTCTGCCAGCAGCAGGGAGGCTGGAGCACAGCGTGTCCTCTGCCAGGTCCCTATAAGGCTACTTCACAGCGTACATTGGTGATCTGAGGATTGGCAGTGCTGGCTGCACCTTCTCAGCTCCTACGCTGAACCCCCAGTGCCTGTGAGGAGCAACTAAAGCTGATTTCAGTCACCCTGCCAGAGGGGCAGGAGAGCCTCAGTCCCTGTTTCGGCAGATGCAGTGCTCAGGCTTTTAGGAATGGCCCCTTCAGCCTCCATCGCCCATGTGTGTGGTGTGGCACAGCAGAGTTTTGTCAGGATGCAGGGAAGTGTGGTTTGCAGAGCCAATGGGAACAGTCTGTTATCACCAAGGCAAGGGTGAGGAGGAAGAAGAAGGTGGTGTTGCTGATGCTGTGCTGCTGGAGTCCCATGTGGGTGTCCACAGCCCCTGAAATCCCTGTGAATTGGTGTCCTTGGGCTGATGCTCTCCACACAGGCCTCACCGCAGCCTCAATGTGCTTCTTGCAGTGCTGGCTGGGTGCAAGCCTGCTGTGCTTGCTGCTTGTGGCTGCAGCTGCACCAGTCTGGGGGAACTCCACTTACCACAGCTCTTGGAGCCTGACCTAGCAGGCAGTTGTTCACCCCTCATAGTGTGTACTTGTCTGGCACACAGGTAGACACTGTGTCCACAAGGGTACTGTGAGAGACAGTTTCAAAAGCTTTGCAAAAATCCAGAACATGTCCTGTCCTTCCTTTGTCAGCTAGGTGGGTAACCTTGTCATAAAAGGAAATTAAATTAGTTAAGCAGGACTTTACACTTGAGAACCCCTGACCAATGTGACCGATGACTGCTGTGTCTTTCAAGTGTTTTTCAAAAACTTCTAGAATTATCTTCTCCATAATTTTAACAGATACTGAAGTGGTACTGCCAGGCCTGGAAATAATGATTTTTCTTACCATTCCTGAAAACTAAGACAATATTTTCCAGCTTCCAATTGCCTGGGACCTCTCTGTATTCTTAAGATCATTGGAGAATAATTGAGGGAGGAGTCTCTCCATAACATCATCCAGTTCTTTCAGTATCCTGGGATGATTCCCATTGGGCCCATGGACTTACCTGCCTTCAGCAGGCACAATGGCACATAGACCTGTGGAGGGCTCTGTTCCTGTGTCAGAAGTCATCTGGGACCTGGGCTTCTCTCTCCCACATGGTTGTTCAGTAGCACAGCTGTGTCTCCAGGGGTTTGGGGTGGAGTTCCCTGCAGGATAAAACAGTGCAGAGCAAAGTTTCCGAGCTAGCCTGGCTTGTTCAAGGCAAGGTGAAGGCTTTCCCATTGCCTGTCTGTCTGCCCTTTCTCCCACCTCTTTCTCCCCTAACTGATGGTGAAGTTGAGGATACATGGGGAAGCCGTGTGCACACTGCTGATGGCCGGAGTGCTCAAGGCCATGGCCTGGGAAGTTGCTCGGAGACACTGAGCTGCTGCCATGATGTGTGCTGGGGCATGGAAGAAGACGTGGCAAGGGATGCTAGTGGGCACCAGATGCCTCTCTGAGGTGGGGCAACAAGGCCATGCTGGGCCGGGGATGCAGGAGTGTCCTTGCTGGATGCTGCCTTGGTCCAGCAATGGAATGTGGCTATCCAGCCTGTCCAGGCAGGCGCTGCAGGCTGCAGGACTGCCTCTATCTGATTATCAGCCAGTAGGACTGGGCTGAAGGTGCAGGGAATGATACAGGGCCGTGATGGTGAGAAACTGTTACTGGATGGGACCACTGGGCAGGTGGAGAGACAAGCAAACTCTTGCTGTGTGGCCCAGGGATGTGGTCTGACCCACTGGGGTGCTGGGCTGTTCCTCCTGGCTTATTCACCTGCCACTGGCAATGTCCAGGTTTGGGCTAATTAGGGTTGTGAAATCATCCTGCACCATGCAGGAGTGGGGGGATTCGTGTCCATACCTGCGTGTCATGTAACCTCTCTGTGGCCACACAACCACACTGTATTTCTTGTTTCATATCTGCATCTTCCCACCCTGGCCTTAGACCTTCTTATGCTTCTGGGTGAGGTGATGGCGTATTGGGGCAACATTCGTATGTGTCCACACGTGTGCACAAGGCTCTGTGTGCATGGTCATATGCATACACAGATCACTTGCTGTGTGTGTCTGTGAGTGCACGAGTGCTTCACTGTCCATGTGCATTGCTGCAGGCTCCGGCCTGGATGGCTGCAGGCTCAAGCATGACTCTGCGTGTTTGCACTGAGCCATGTGTGCAGGTGAGGGGTGCTGAGCTCTGCCTTGAGGATGCTCTGTATCACAGACGGTGTCAGCGTAGCCCCATCTGGGTGCCTGTGTCTGTTTGGTCTGCTGAAGGAGGGAAGATGGAGCGGGTACTGCACGGCGCCAGGCGTTTTTCTTCATAAACAAGGGTATTTGGGGCCAATTGGAGCATGAATAATTCGCGTGGCAGCCAATGGCTGAGTGCCGGCTGCATCGCAGCGCTCGCCTGCAATGGAGGCCAAACCTGCTGGGGCTGCACGTCGGCTGAGGGGGAAGGGAGAGGGAGGGCTTAGCGCAGGGCTGGGGCTCCGTTATAAATCGAGGCGAGGGGCTGAGCCAGCGCAGAGCTCTGCTTCACCCCAGCCCGCTGCAGCGCCGTGCCCTGCGCTGGGACCCCGTGCCCGGCCCTCCCTGACCGCGCATCCTCACCTGCACGGTCCTCACCATGCCTGAGTGCTGGGATGGGGTAGGTACCACCGTCGCCGTGCCGCCCTCCCCCCTGGATTTTGCCCCACTTCCTGCCCCACTGGCTCAGGATGGACCACAGCACCAAGCAGGGCTTGCTGTGTGCCGGGCAGCTGATGGGGTGGGCGCAGCTCCTGCCGGGGAGCCCTTCCTTCACGCGGCCACACCACCACCGCATCCCTGATGCAGCGCGGGTTTCGGGGCCGCATTGTCCTTGAGCACGTCCTCCTCGGGCCTGGCGGAGCTGCCGCGCTGGGACAAGCTGAGCTGTGGCTTAGGCTGTGCTGGGATGACTGCGGGCAGGGGAGCCCTGCTGCACCCCACCGGGGTCTGAAGGGAGCAGAGGGGATGGACGGCCAGGGAATGGCCATTTGGGAGCGACCCCTCGGATGTTTTGCAGCCTCTGCAGCGATGGCAACAGGCTGGTGTGGAGGGTGGGCAGGTGGGAGTGCTGTGACGGGCAAGCGGGAACCCTGCGGATGCTGAATCCTGCACGGAGCTGGGCTCTGCCAGGCACATATGGGTGCTGCAGCCCCTGCACCACCTCGCTGCAGCCATGTCAGTGACCTTCTTCTTGTTAGCTTCATTCTCTCCATCATGAGCCTCTCCTCTGAGCGAGCACAGACGCGTCTGCGGCAGAGGGCAGGGCTGTGGCACCCGGCAGTGCCGCAGCAGGCAGGGATGTGCCTGGCCTGCTGGGCGGGGGTCACAGCACTAGGGAAGGAGACTCCAGCTCAGGCTTGTGATTTGGAGCGGGGAGCGCACAGGGGGCTGTCAGGGCTGTGAGGGGAGCTGTGTTGGAAGGGAGGAGAGAGCCCTGTGCCCAGGATTGGGCTGTGTGGACACCTCCTGCTCGGTGACCTTGGGCCAAGCCGTTCTGCTGCCTCAGTTTCCCCATCTGTCACGGTGTCCCTGTTCAGCACCTGCAGAGGTGGGTGAGAGGGAAGGGGTGGGTGCCATGAGCCGTGGGAGAGGAGTGATGGCTGTGATTGAGAGCTCGGTCAGGGTGTCCTTGGGGAGCTCAGCATCAGCTCTGAGGAGCCCTTGAGCCGTCCTCTGGTGCTGTGAGCCCCTGGAGGCAGCAGCTCATGGCGTGGAGAGGCACCACGGCAAGGAGCATCTGTCCTCAGGCTGTTCCTCCTGCCTGAGGCCTGCGTCCTTCACAGTCCTTGGTGGCGCGTGGCCTGCGGGAGCCCACGTGGCTGTGGAGGGGCCGTTCCCCCTGCATCATCCCATCCATGGGGCTTTTCTGTAGCTGTCAGGGCTTGGGGAGGAGGATGAAGCTACACCAGTGTGACCTTGTGGGCCTGGGACAGCAGGCCTGGAACCCCCTAGCTGGGAGAAGCTCTGATGGCAGTAAGTGGGGACTGGAGGGTACCTGTGCCCTGAAATGGTGCTCTGGCAATGAGATGTCTTCTGCTCCCTCCTCTTTAGCAAGGCTGAAGTGAGTCAGAGGGTGATCAGGAAGGAGCTGCCCTTTACTCCCCTTCTCTCTCTGGCAATCGCTGCCCTCCCGAGCCAGGGAAATGGAGGCACAAGGCATTCCTGGTCTCTGTGTGGGGCATGGCTATTTTAGAGCACAGGGTTTTGTGGTTATTTTAGCTCTCATTTTGAGCTCAGGATGTGGCACTTCCCAGGGCGATGTTTGGGATCTGACCACTGCCTATTTGCCCCAGGTGTTGTGAATCCAGGCCAAGTGGGTCACACTGTTCTCTCATCTTGTTGCCAAAACTGTCGTGGTCTCCTGCCCTCTGAGACTTCCCGTCCTATCCTGTTCCCCATCCCATGATCATTGCCATCCCAAGCCCTCTTCGATCATCCCAAATTCTCTTGTCTCAATTTAAACCATCCTATCCCATCACATCTCCTTCCATCTGAAACCTTTATCCCTTCATCCCGCCGGTAGTCCCATACCATGATACATCCATTCCATCCTAGATCCCATCCCATCCCATCCTGTACACCTTTCTAATCCTAAATCTTTCCACCCCATCCCAAACTCTCCATCCCTTCCTGTGGTCTTCCTGTCCCATTTCAGCTGTTCTGTACTATCCCAGATGCTCTGTGTTTATTGTACTCTGTTTCTGGGACATGGATGCACCTTTCCTGCACTGGCTCCTGGGCAGCCTCCTGTGTCTCTGGGAAGAGGTTGGGCTGCATTTGGACAGACTTTGCTCATTGCTGCTGCCAAGCCTGGAGATCCCGAGCCTTCCACATGGGTGAAATCTGCTCGTGTCAAAGGTGAAGGCAAATGTGGAGTTGGCATGTGGATCCCATGAGGAGTCACGGAGAGTCTGCAGAGGAACCATCCACAGGCTGCTATTAAATATGCAGTAGCTGCATCCAGCTTGGGAAAACTCCGCCCTGTGGGGAGCTGATGGAAGCTGGGAGTATTTATATGCAATGCCCTGCCCTCTGCTGCTGGCCTAGACACAGGGCCCCCTGGAGCTTGGGTCTCATCCCTGCCCAGGGCTGTGGGGCCGCATGCCCTGAACCCCAGGAGACATCTCCATGGTGCTGTCTGCCAGGTGCTTGCTTACCCACAGATGGTTCCCATGGGGAAGGCATTTCTGGGATGCTGGCCACACTGAAGCCTGCGGCCACACACACACACACAAACACACACACAGATGACTCTTGGGAAGGTTGCTGGGGCAGTGCGAGGGGTGTGTGGGCAGGACAAATGTCACTCATCTTTCCTCTTCCCCCAGGAACACGACATTGAGACGCCCTATGGGCTGCTGCACGTGGTCATCCGGGGCTCACCCAAGGGGAACCGCCCTGCCATCCTGACGTACCACGATGTGGGCCTCAACCGTGAGTGCCTGGGATGAAGGAGCTACCTTGCCCATTTTAGCCACCCTGCTCCTTTCTGAAGCCAGCATGGGGTGGATGGGAATGATCTCAGCCATGCTGGATGGGAACAGTGTGGCTGTTTTGAGGCTCTGCAGCCTTGTCCTGCAGTCCTTGGTGTCCATCCTCATGCTAGGGACGCACAGCCCTTGCTAACAGTGTCCATGGTCTCTGCTGTGGAGGCCAGAAGCCCAGAGGGAGGGGGTGGGGGGCTTTGGTGGCACATCAGCTCCTGGCCAAGGCAGTAGGACAGTGGATGACCTGTCTCCCACGCTCCCCTCACCCACCAGACCCTGTGCTGGGTGTTTGGTCTCTGATCACTGCCTCCCTTTGACAGACAAGCTTTGCTTCAACACCTTCTTCAACTATGAAGACATGCAGGAGATCACAAAACATTTTGTGGTGTGTCATGTGGATGCGCCAGGCCAGCAGGCAGGAGCCTCACAGTTCCCGCAGGGGTAGGTGCCTGTGCTGGGGACTTGCCATGCCCACTGGTTGCCCTGGCACCTGCTTGCTGTGTCAGAGCCCAGGGTGGGCATTATGGTGCTTGGTGGGTGAGCAGGGTTGTGAGCTCTGCACAGGCCCCACAGTCACCTCCCTGTGCCCTCCCTGCTGCAGGTACCAGTACCCATCCATGGACCAGCTGGCTGCCATGTTACCCAGCGTGGTGCAGCACTTTGGGTGAGTCAACTTCTCCTCAGATGGTGCAGGGAGCAGCATGGCAGGAAGGCTTGGGGCTGGGGCAGTTGTCCTGGTCAGCCAGTACCCTGTATGTCATTTTGTGCCCCATCCTCGTGGAAGGGATGCCCTGGGGTTTCCCACCATTTCCTTATGCTACGTTTCTGCTTTCCAGATTCAAGTATGTGATCGGGATCGGTGTTGGGGCAGGAGCCTACGTGCTGGCCAAGTTTGCGGTGAGCATGGAGTGGCCCTGAGTTGACTGGGCCTCCTGTCAGCCCAGCATGTGGGCAGGAGCCTGAGCTGTCACCCCAGGAACAGTGTGCTGCTGTGAAGGTTCCTGGAGGGCATTGGAGGTTGGGATGGCAGTGCTGTGCCAAAACAGGGCCATGTTGGCCCCACTGGGCTCCAAGACAACTTGGGATGCCCCTGGCCTGGACTTAGTTCCTGCACAGTGGGCAGTGTTGCTGGTGGACACATTGCCTTTTCATGCTGAACATTCCTCCTCTTGCTTGGTGCAGCTTATCTTCCCCGACCTGGTTGAAGGGCTGGTCCTCATGAACATCGACCCCAACGGCAAAGGCTGGATTGACTGGGCAGCTGCCAAGGTGAGCAGAACCCAAACTCTTCCAAGCTCTGGTGGCATCCTTTGGCACCCATCCCATGCCACCTGCGATGCCAGGGCAGGAGCCAGCCAGGGCAGGATGGTAACTCCCTGTGCTCCCTCCACAGCTCTCGGGCCTCACCAGCACACTGCCAGACATGGTCCTGTCCCACCTGTTCAGCCAGGTAAGGGCTGCCTGCATTCTGCCTGCACCTGTCCCCACAGCATCCCAGCCTGACTGTGCCCGACCCCCCACCATGTGCTGGGTGCTTGGTGCTGGGGATGGCCTTGGCAGAGCCCTGCCTGCATCCCTTCTGCCTGATCTGGGGCTCAGCCCTACCCATGTGCTGGGTGAGATTTGTGCCTGCATCCTGCTGTTCTGCTGTTAGTGGGCAAGGCATGGGCACCTGGCAGCCCTGGCCCTGATTTCTGTCCCCTGCTGGTGCAGGAGGAGCTGGTGAACAACACGGAGCTGGTGCAGAGTTACAGGCAGCAGATTGGCAGCGTGGTGAACCAGTTCAACCTCCAGCTCTTCCTCAACATGTACAACAGGTAAGCAGCATCCAGCAACATCACCATCTTCGCACGGTGGTGGGTGGCCCTGAGGTGCCATGGGAACCTCCACCCCACTGAGTGCTGCTGTCATCCTCTAATGCAGGCCAGCAGGGAGCAGCGTATTGGGGGATCACAGTGTGCTGGGACAGCAGGGCTCCACAGAGTCATTTTTTGGGCATACCCCAGCTCTGTGCTCCCCTGCATGCTCACACTGGCTCTCTCTCCTCCTCCAGCCGCAGGGATCTGGACATCAACCGGCCCGGCACTGTGCCCAACGCCAAGACACTGCGGTAAGAGCTGCACAGGCACCGCCCAGCGCAAGGAGCCCAGCCTGAGATCTGACTGTGCCATTTCCTCCTCTCATTTCCAGTTGCCCTGTGATGTTGGTGGTGGGAGACAACGCTCCTGCTGAAGAGGGTGTGGTGAGTGATTGTAGCCATCCATGCTTGTAGGCACATGGGCACACGTGGCTGCCTGGGGTGGGATGTGCCAGCGCAGAGCTGGGACCAAAGGTGGTAGCTGTGGGCAGCTTCTGCCAGGCGTGAGGCACCCTAGAGTGTTAGTTCTTGTCCCTCTCACCCACAGGTGGAGTGTAATTCCAAGCTGGATCCCACAAACACCACTTTTCTGAAGGTAAGTGGGTGATGACAGTATCAAGGTGCCCCCCACTGCTTGTGCAGTGCCCTGTTTTCCCGTGCTCCAGCATTACAGGTTGTCCCTGTCTACCTGCCCCAAGTTCATGTGGGACTGGAGTGAGCAGGGTGGCCTGGCAGTAGAATCCAGCCATTGGGCACCAGAGGTTGGGATGGGAGAAAAGGCGTCCCCCAAACTAACCAGAACTTTGTCTGTGCAGATGGCGGATTCTGGTGGGCTGCCCCAGGTCACACAGGTGAGTACTCTCCATCAGCTGAGTTACACTGGCCCCTGACATAGAATGGTGTGGCCCCTATCTGGAAAGGGATGGGCTGATGTGGGCACAGGACTCCCAAGGGGTACTGGGGGTGGTGTGGGGCTGTGCCTCAGCTCCTTCTGCTCTCTCCCTGCAGCCCGGCAAGCTGACCGAAGCCTTCAAGTACTTCCTGCAAGGCATGGGCTACAGTGAGTGCTGGGCACGGGGCTGCCTGGATGTGTGTGTGTGTATGTGTGTGGTGTGGCACAGAGGAGCCTGGCACATGAGCGTGCCCATCCTGACGGAGGGCTGCAAATGTGTCTGTAGTGCTGTATGTGTACAAGGTGCCCATCCATGTATTTGGGGTGTGGGATGTACAGGCTCTGTGTGTAAGAGAACTGTGTACATGTGTGGGTCTCTGTGTATGGGTGTGTGTGTGTGTGCAGGTCTGTGTGCACCCACGCAAATCTGTGCACACACATGGGTTAGGAGGAGACCTCTGGCCCCGTGCAGCCCCCAGTGTAGCTGACGTTCTCTCTCTGCCCTCCTGCCCTCCTCCTGCTCCCGCCCTGCCAGTCGCCCACCTGAAGGATCGGAGGCTGAGTGGAGGTGCAGGTACCGCTCGGTGCTGCCTGCCCTGCATGGTGCCCTCAAGGCGCTGAGCCCTGAGGCTGCTGGGGCGCCTTTGGGAGCAGCCTGGGCATGGGGCTGCCCCTTCCCAGACAGTGCCTTCTGTCCTGCTCTGCTTTGCCCAAAGTGTTGGGCTGCCTCCACCCTGAGCCAGGGCTGAGGGCTAAGCAATGGCATTAAGACAAGCCTCCCCGTGCAGGCAGCATGCCCACCGTGTGCTCTTTCACAGGACAGCAGCTGTGCCCTCTGTGCATCCTGGTTGGAGGAAGGTGCCACCTTCACCCTGGGGAACCGGGAGAGTTCCCATCCTCATTCACACCCCCCTGGAGCATGGTGGCTGGGGCTTCCCACTGCCTCACTGCCCAGGGGATTGGCTGGGGCACCACATCCTCTGCCAGCACGGAGCTGCTCATGTTGTGGCACTGCATGCTGCAAGCTTGTGCCTGGGGCCATCTGCCTTGGGGAGTGGGACCTGCTCCAGGCCAGCAGCTTTGCTTGCATTAGGCAGTGTCAGCCCAGCCTCTCCTGGCCAAGCACCCAGACCCCCTCTCTGTGCCCATGCAGTGCCGTCTGCCAGCATGACCCGCCTGGCACGCTCCCGCACAGCCTCGCTCACCAGCGCCAGTTCTGTGGAAGGTGCCCGACCACGTGCCTGTTCGGAGAGCAGCGAGGCCATGGGGCAGATCAACCACACCATGGAGGTATCGTGCTGAGGCCCGTGGCCGCCACCACCGTTTCCTCCAGAGCCATTTCCCATCCGTCAGCATCCCGCCAGCACCCACCCGCCCCGCGGACGACCTCTGCCAGTGCTCTCGCTCCCCTGGGGTCGATTCATCTTCTTTGCTGTTGGCCTCCCTCCCTCACTGGGCACCAGAGGAGCTTCTCCTTGTCATCTGCAGGCTCAGAGTCCCAGCTCAGCCCAGTAGTCACACATGGCTCTGCCTCAGTCCTCACCTTCCCCAGCACTGCCTTGGCCCTGGTGTGGAAGGGAGGATGGCAGGGAGACGTGGCCGGGATGGGTGAGCAAGGGTGGGATGGTGGGATGGAGCAGGGCAGTGGGACATGGGCAGGACAGCAGGACATGAGCAGAACAGCAGGATACAGAGAAGTAGGTCAGTCTCTTAAGGGTGGCCAAGCCAGAAGGAAGCCAGGGCTGGGGTGCTGTGTGTGGTCGTTTTGGGGAGATCACAGTGCTCATCCTGGGACTGCAGCTCCCATTCTCCCCAGTGGCCATTCCCTGGGCACTGCATGGGATCTCTGGCACAGGCAGGACCTGCAGCCTGGGTGGATGCTGGGCATCATGAGCAATTGCATCCTGCCTGTGCCTCTCCCAGCCATGCACCTCGGGGGCTGCCCAGGGCAGGGACGGAGGTCTCAGCCTGAGCTGTCAGGGCAGAAGGGGATCATCAGCATCCCCCCAGCTCACATCCCGTGCACAGTGCTGCCTTGGCCCTGTTTTTGTTGCAAAAAGGACAGTTGCTGCCTGCTACCAAAAATGCATATGGGGGCAGTGTCTGCCCCTTGCCTCACCCAGTCCCTGATGTGCTGGCCCTGGTCTACCAGAGCTCAGAGGCAGCTGGGTCTGGGGTCACCATGAGGATCCGCCTCCTCAGCCTTTGGCTGTCGCTGCAGCAGAGCCATTAGCAATAAGATGAGACCACCCCACTCCGGGAAGCCCCCTGCACCCCCGGCCCCTCTGGGCACCCCACTTCAGCGTGCTGGTTCTGCAAGGTGCCCCCATGGCACGCGGGGAACATTCCACACCTGGCTTTGTCCCTGGGAGATGGTTCCCCCTTGTCTCACCTCTGCAGGGAGCGGGCCATCAAGGGCTTGGCTCTAAGCAGTCTGCAAGGCCCCAGCCAGCCCCAAGTGGCACGGACAGCCACATCATTGTGTAACCCTGCAATCAGCCACCCAGCCCAGCTCCTCCCATGCCTGGGCCAAAGGAGATCCCAGCTCTGGTGATGGGTGCTGGGGGTCTCATGGTAGCCCTGGGACAGGGCAGCTGCAGAGCCCCTTTGAGGATCCACCTGCTGCAGCCATTTGGGCTGGAGCAGGTCCCGTGCAGCCCCCTTGAAGCACTTTCCCCACAGGCCCTCGCCCCCATCAAGGGGCCACAGGGCTCCCAGCAGGTGCTCGAGGGCTCCTGGCCCCAAGGCTGGCACCTCGGTCCATACCCCATAACGCTGACAATGCCAGTGTCCCTGTTTTCCCCCATTCACTCTGCTATGTGCTTCCTTCTCGGTGTGACTAAATGCTAAGCAGACTTTTTTTCTGTAGATACCACTGCGATCACCCATTTTCTCAGCGTGTCCTTCCAGATGATATATATATAAATACCTATACATATTATATATATAGGGTTGTCTGGGCCCTGACCTTTGGGTTTGCTCCCCCTGTTCTCTCGTACAAGTGGTGCCGTGTGGTTCCATTTGAGGTGGTCTGGCCGTGCTTGCCTTCGGTTTCCCACCTGGGTTGTGTTGGTTTGTTCTGTTCCCTTTGTGGTTTGTTCTTTTGATTTTATTGGTTCTCCTCTTTTCCCAGTCACATCAGAATTGAACGCATTTCCCCCTTTCCCTGTCTGAGCGCAACTGGTTTTGTCACAGTGGTGTCGAGGCCACAGTTCTCACAAGACGGCAATATGTAAACCAGATTTAACTAACCTGTCGCTGTAGAGAGGATTTACTGTATTGGAAAAAAATATTAATAAATATGATAAGAATCTGCTGTGCTTTTCTCATGTACTGAGTTGAGGCTGGATCTGAGGTCTGGGCAGGCAGCCCAGGGAGCTGGCTGAGGTGGAGGTGTCTGCTTGTGCCCCTGCTTCTGGCTCTGCCTCTGCCCTCCCTCCTGCCCCTTCTTCCAGCACGAGGCCATGGGTACCCTGGGAATGTTCTCTCAGTGTCCCACTGCTTCAGGGAGTCCCACAAGTTCATCTGGCCATGCTGAGGTCCTCTGCTATGCTGGGGTTTCCTGGAAAGCAGCCCCAAAGCCCTCAGAAACCATTGCCATGCAAGGAAAGATGTAAAGCAAATGGTTCTGCATATAGCTCATGTTTACCTATTTATAGCATAGCTGTAAACCACCTCAGGCCATCATCACCTGGCCATTCTCCCCTTCCAAAACCAGGGTCAGCTGGAGGAGGTGGCTCAGGACTGCATCCCATATTTGGATATTCAGAGAGATGGTGCTTTTCTAACCTCTTTGGGCAACCTGTCCCAGTGTGTGACCATGTGAATGGAAGTTCCTGTATTTCAGTGTGTCCTCTCTTCTTGTTCCTTGTCTTGGCACAGCTGCAAAGAGTCTGGCTTCGTCTTCTTTCTTCCTCCCTTTCATTTTCGCTTTGTTTCTCCCACGTGCCCTGGTTGACTCTCAGTTAATCCTTCCCTGTCTTTCTTCTAAATCACTTCCTCATCACTCGGTAGCTACAAAGTGAGTAATGGTAACAGTGTGACCTGCTGGCAGCCATGTCCTGTGTTCAGCTTGGGTATTAGGAACAATTTATGCTCACAGAGAGCAGTGATGCAATGGCACAGCTGCCCAAGGAGCTGGGGGAGTCACCATCCCTGCAGGCATCCAAGAGCCATGGGAATGTGGCACTGAGGGACATGGGCAGTGGGCATGGTGGGAGTGGGCTGGGGTTGCGGATCTGAGAGGTCTTTTCCAGCCTTAATAATTCTGTGTTTCGATGTTTGGTACTTGGCCACATACCAGCCCCTCCTGTATACACACTTGGTGGCCTGGAAGGTTTCCTCACATCTGGCAGCTGCACTGTGGCTGGGGGAATGGCTGCTGCTGCTGGGGTCTCAGCTGTTGCATCCCAGCCGCAGTTCTGTGGTCCCAAGGCAACTGACCACTTCTTCAGCGTTTCTCCCCCAGCACCTGCAGTGATACCACAGGGGTATGAATGGGGTGTCTGTGTGGGAAGCTGGAATCCTGTGTGGGAACTGGAGATACTGGGGAAAGGGGGTGGTAATGGGAGACAGTGGAGGGGAAATGGGAATCCTGGGATGATCTTGTGGGGTCTGGGGATTGTCGGAGGGCTCTGAGAGGGGAAATATGTGTTCTGGTTGGGGAGAAGGCATGTCAATAGAGGGTTCTGAGGGCAGTGGTGGGTAAACAGGGGACTCTGGAGTGGTTCTGGGGGAACTCCAGGTGTCTCTGGGGATATTAAAGGTGTTCGAAGGGAAAAGAGAACTTCGGGAGGGGGATAATGGGGTACTGGTATGTTCTGGAGGAGAATGCAGGGCCTGGAGGAACCCTGGAGGCAGGAGAGGCTGATTACACTAGGGCTTTCCAAAGGGGAAATGGGAGCTCTAGGGGGGTTGTGGTGATACTGAGAGGGTTTGTGGGAGTTTGAGACCTCCTGGGCTCTTCCACCTCAGAGCTCAAAATCTGTTTTCCCCCCATTTTGCAGCCAGAATCCCAAACAATGGCCAAAAAGAACTCAGGGACAGTGCTCCCCTCATCTGACTGTGCCATTGTCAGGCTCCACAAAATGCCATCCCAATTCCACCTCACCCCACATATGACCATAGCAAGGGACAAGTGAAATGGGGGGAGCCTTTCTTTATTGGGGACCCCTCTCTGTGCACAACAGAGCCTTCTGCACCCCAGGGTGACAATGCCTTGTGGGATCCCAGAAACTCTGCTCTGGGGAAGAAGAGCACTTCTGGGGTCCTTTGGGATGGGTACAAGCATTTTGAGGCAAGAAAAGCCAGTCTGAGGAGGGGAACAGTCTAGAGTGAGAAAGGTTGTTCTTGGGCCTGTTTGGAGGGGTATCTCAGAATCTAATTCTACAATACATAAGAATTTTGACAGTCATCTGAATTGTCAGATCTGAGTATTTGGAGTGAGAAAGGCCATTCTGGTGTCCTTTAAGAAGGGAACCTGGCATTTTGGGATGAGAAAAGCCCTGTTGTGGTTCTCCCTGTGGTTACTTCTCCTCTGCACAGCCAGTTGCTTTCCTCACTATGGCCCTGTGGTTGGATGTCCTCCATCTTACAGACAGCTTTCCTCCCATCTACAGGTTTTCCACCCTATGATCAGTTGTCCTTCATCTTATGGCTGGTTCTCCTCAACCCTATGGTCAACTGTAGTCTTCTATATGGGCAGCTGTTGCACTCCATCCTACGACTGGTTGTCTATATGGATAGTTGCTGTCCGTCCTATCACTGGTTCTCTTCCACCCTTGGGCCAGTTGCTGTCCTCCACTCTATGGATGGTTCTCTTTCACATTTTGGCCAGCTGTTGTCCTCCACCCTACAGCTGATTTTCCTCCATCCTACAGCCAGCTGACACTTCCACTACAACTGCTTGTCTCCCTCCCTGGGCCTTCCTGTCCCTCCACCCGAACTTTCTTCTTCCTCCTCCTCTCCTCCCTCTCCCCACCTCAGTGCCCTCTTCAGCCGTGCCCAAAAGAGTGGCTGAGCTGTGGGGTTGAGAGGCCAGCGCAGGTAGGTGCGCCGCAGCAGCACCCGTCGCATGCGGTGGTAGGCAGACAGCTCAGCATCACCCACATCCTCCAGCAGCACCAGTACCAGGATGTCACGCCGCTCATCCAACAGCCGGTAGCTGGCCAACTGCACCTCCAGAGAGCACCACTCGCTGCGCAGGTAGCTGCGGCTCACCACGCACACTGTTTTCCGGCTGTTGTAGACAGCATCCACGATGTTGTCAATGATGCTGCGGCCCGGCTGGAAGTCGCGGTGGTGCAAGCAGAGTCGGAAGGCACCACGCTCCAGCTCAGGCACCAACTTCTGCAACACCCAACTTTCATCAGCTGAATTGTAGGACACAAAGCTGTCGTAGAGGTAGCGCTTTTCCTCCCGCCGCCACCGCTGGTTGACCCAGCACCGCAGGAGGTACCAGTGGTACTTCAGCCTCCAATAGGCATGGTGGTACACCAGCGGCACCACCAGCAGCAGCAGCACTGCTGGTGCAGTCCCAGCAAAGAGGTAGAGCCCCAGGTCCAGGAAGCAGACGCGTGTGTCAAAGCTGTGGATGTAGGCATTGCGCTGTGAGCCGCAGGTGTAGTTGTAAGGGTAGACAACCTGCACACGGCTGTTGTTCAGCCAGCCCTGCAGCCACGTGTTGTCACAGGTGCAGCTCAGTGGACACTTGCGCAGGTCCAGGTAGCGCAAGGAGGACAGCCGGCTGGCAACACTGGCATTGAAGGTCTTCAGCTCATTTCTGGCCAAGCGCAGCACCTGCAGCTGGCTGAGGTTGCCGAAGACCTCCAGAGTGAGTGAGTGCAGACCTACATTCTCCAGGTCCAGGAACTGCAGGTTGCTCAGGTTTCTGAAGATGCCGTCAGGCAGGTCATGTATCCCATTGCTGCTGTCAGCCAATGTCAGGGATTGCAGCTTGCCCAGGTCCTCGAAGACGTCTGGTGGGATGGCCCGCAGCATGTTTTGTGACAGCGACAGCCGCTGCAGCTCCACCAAGCCCTGGAAGAAGTGGTGAGGCAGCATCTTCAGCCCATAGGGCTGCTGTGCCTGCAGTTTAAGGTCGTACAGGCTGCTCAGGTAACGGAAGGGTGGTGGCTGGTGCAGCCACTGTGAGATGTACTGCAGGTTGTTGGCCCGCAGGTCCAGCACCCCGAGGGTAGCTTGCACCGGGGCGAACACTCTACTGCTCACTTCCAACAGTCTGTTGCGGTCCAGGTACAGCCTGCGCAGCTTGGACAGTCCCTGCAGTGACTGTGGGGCCAGGTGACGCAGGTTGTTGCCCCCTAAATCCAGCGTCTGCAGCTCGGACAGCCCCTGGAAGACACCAGGGAAGAGGACAGAGACACGGTTGTTGCGCAGGTTGAGGGTGCGCAGGCTGTGGAGGTCAGTGAAGGAGTTGTTGTAGAGGTCAGTCAGCAGGTTGTTGTCCAGACGCAGCTCTGTCAGGTTGTGCAGCCCCCACAGTGCCTCCCTGTCCAGCAACACCAGGCTGTTAATATTGAGCTGTAACACCTGCAGGGCTGGGGCATAGGCAAAGGCGCGGAACCCAACAGTCAGGATGCGGTTAAAGCGGAAGGAAATGTTGTGCAACCGTGGCAGCACCTGGGCCCCCTGGCAAGATGGCAGTTTCTTCAGCAGGTTGTGCTCCACTTTCAGCACTTCCAGCTCCTCCTGCTGCTTCTTGCCCAGCAGCTTGCCAGCACAGCCCACCTGCTGCAGCCGGTTCCAGGACAGGTCCAGCTCTCGCAGCACAGGACACGATGCCAGCGCATTACACGGAAGCACCTTCAGTCCATTGCGTTGTAGCCGCAGCTGCTGCAAGGGCTGGGGACCCTGCAGACTCAGGCACGCCTTTTTCAGCCCATGAGCCCCCAGCACCAGCCCAGAGAAATCCAGGCTGCGAGGCTGGATGTCAGAAATGTCCAACAGGCGGAAGACATCCAAGGGGTTGCCCATCAGGTGGAGCAGGCTGATGTTGCGCAGGTGGAGCTGGGTGAAGGCCTCTGCCTGTGAGATACTGTTGTAGGAGAGGTCGAGTATCTTCACGTGCCGTAGCATCTCTGGGCTACCCCCTGCTAACTCCCCCAGCGAGTTGTTGCACAGCTGCAGGGTGTGCAGCGAGGCAGGTAGTGGTGGGCCTGGCCCCAGCGTTGTCAGGTTGTTTTCACATAGGTCCAAATGCTCCAGTTGTGCCAAGCCCTGCACCGCCACTGCCACCACCCCCAAGCCGTTCAGCTGCCCACCCCGCAAAGACAGACGGCGCAGGTTGAGCAGGGGGAGCAGAGCACCAGGTGACACCGTGCTCAGGGGGTTCTGTTGTATCCACAGCGAGGACAGGTTGCTCAAACTGTTGAACACCCCTTCGGCGAGTGTGGTCAGCCGATTGTGAGACAGGTCCAGCACCACCAGCACACCTAACCCATTGAAAGCACCAGGGGAGAGGGTCTCCAGTTGGTTGTGGGCCAGGTCCAGGGTGTGCAGCTGTGGCAGGCGGGCAAAGGCAGAGGGCTGCAGGCAGCGCATTAAGTTGTATGACAGATTGAGTGAGATGGCATGTGGTGGCAGGTCAGACACTGCCAGGGCCGGTGACTCCAGGAAGCGCTGGATGCAGCGGAAGCGCAAAGATGCCCTGACATCCTCAATGCAGTTGCGAAAGCCATATGGGTGCACCATCGGCATCAGTGTCACTGTCACCAGCAGCAGCAGCAGCTGGGGTGGGAAGCAGTGGAAGGGACACATCCCGGTGCTGGGCCTGGGGGAGAGAGGGAGAGTCGAGGGCTGGGGCACAGGGACCAGAACAGCTCAGTGCTGCCAAGGATGACTCAGTGACTCCAACCAGTATAATCAAGTACTGCCCACCATGATCAGTGCTGCCCACCATAATTCAGTTCCATTTACAATAACCCCGTGACCCAGTGTCCCCATACCAGTACAACCCCCACTACATAGTGCACTACTGCTGCCTCCCTCCCTGCAAAACCCAGTGCAGAACTGGCTTGGCATATGGAGTTGAGGATTTGGGGACAGGAACTCTGCATAAGATGAGGAGTGCTGAGGAAAGGGATGCAGGGATTTGCTGACAGGAGTGGTGAGGGGGATAGGACCAGTGCAGGATTGGACAGGGACAGGGACAGAGCCATAGAGGATCCCCCTTTTCCCCCTCTTACCGCGCCTTCTCCTCTGCTGTCTCCATCATCCTCAGCCGCTGTCTCCTTTCTGGAGTGAAAAAGGGAAGTTGTGGTATCACTTCATGTAACCACTGACGTAGGTAGTGGGAACTGCTGTCACATTCTGGAGGAGCAGCACCTGTCCCCAATGCCTGTCCCCAATGCCTATGCCACCTCCCTGATGCTCTGTGTTGTGACTCCATGACCCTCATGTTCTCATATCTCTCATGTCCCTCATGTCTCCATGATCTCCTATGTTCCCTGTGTCCCTCAGGTTCCCATGTTTCCAACCTTGTGATTCTATGATTCTATGATTCTACGTTCCCCCGTGTTCCCATAATCTTCTATGCCCCCATGCCCCTGCAGATCCCACGTCCTCCTAGCCCTCAATAATCCCCATGTCTCTCCATCATCATATCTCCTCTTTTCCCCTGTTCGGCTACGTCCCCCCTCCCTCTGTCATAAGGCACTGCTATCACTTCCCCAACCCCCAGCCCCCACAGAGCTTCTTACTGGTTTTGGTTCCTCCACTGGGTAATATAATGAAGGACTGGGCAGAACTGGATTGTACTGGGAGGGGGAAAGGACAAAACTAAGGGAAGCCAATAGAGTGTGAGAGATCTAGGGGCTTCTAACAATCTTGGTTTAACCCAGGGTCCAAGGGGCTCCAGCACAGCACAGGATGAGCAGCTCCAGGTGGTGGGAGAGTACAAAGTGATCATACAGCACACAGCCACCACATGGAAGCAAGCTGCTGACATCAAGCCTCCTTCTCTCTCCCTCTTTCATGCACCAGCTGTGTGGACAGTCAGTAATGCACAAGCAAACCAGTTGCCAGCAGTGTGATTCAGCCCTTCTGTTGGGTGCTGGATCACCAGGGGTAGGGACACTGGAAATCTAGAAGTGGAATTGGCCCCAACTAACCTGCCCTAGAGCACCTCCAGATGTGGGGAACCCACAGCCCCTCTGGACAGGTGTGCCAGGGCCCCACCACCCGCTGAGTAAAGAATTTCATCCTAATAGCTGACCTAAATCTCCCCTCTTTTAGTCTAAAGCCATTCCCCCTTGTGCTATCAGTATCAAACCATGCAAAAGGTTGGTCTCCCTCCTGCTTCTAAGCTACCTTTGAGTACTGGAAGGCTGCAGTGAAGTCTCCCTTGTAGGTAACAGTAAGCTATGCTGCTTGCTTGTTCATGTAATTCTAAAACTCTAAGTGTAACCACAGCCCTGTGGTCTGATTTCCTTCTGCCACGGATTCCTAAAGTACCTGCCTGTCCCCATAGCATCAGTTGACAGAACTTGCCATAGTTGGTAGGATCCTAGGGTTAGAAAATGTCTGGTTCCCTTCATCAATGGGATGCACTGCAAAAGAATTTCATGGAATATGAATGGCAAGATCCCAAATGGGATAAGGAATGGCTAATGGCACTAAGCTGCAAGCCAAGTGTCACATGGGGCAAAATTAAGAAAGAAATGAAAGACAAGAGAAGGGAAGGATGCTGTGTACACAGTAAGCCCACTACTGTACAAAGACTGCACGTGACATGGACTGGAACCGCTGTTCCGAACTGTGATCAACAGCATAAACCCCCTGTCGTTTTGGAGTTTTGAATAGCAACTTTAAACCTAGTTTGTCCCACAAGCCACGAAGCTCTCTGGGTCTCCCCTCCTGACAGCGAGTCCGAACTCTCCCCCAGGAGGCGCTGCTTCCCGCGGGTGCCGTGTCCCCATCATCAGATCCCTCCTTCAGAGCTCTGACTGTGAGGAAAAAAGCATCCATCTCATTCGTTACAGGCAGCTAATAAATCAGCCCGTGAAAACAGTCTGCAGGCACTAAGGAGTTACAGTGTCCTACCAGGAAATGTCTGCTGGCAGCCAATGGGAAGAGTGACAAACAATGCAGATGACTCATAGGTTCCAGCAGCAGATCAAAGCAGAGCAGTGCTGGGTATCTGCAGCAGCTTTGCTGTGTCCTTTTAAGCCTGCGTTTTCAAATGTAAGTTGATATTTGCTTCCATTTTCTTTTACTTGAGCGTTTGCATATTAGCTTAATCTAGAAGAGCTTCTCCCATCCTAAGAAAAACATCTTCATTATAAATTCATTTTTAAAAATGGAAACCTGAAATAAATGGTTTCTAGTAATCTCCCCCCTGTCCATCCCAACCTGTAGAAGATGGAAAAGTTGTCTGACACTTTTGGTGTTGTATTAAAAGGAACACAAGAACCGTTGGAGAAAATCATCTAAGAAAAACTGGTTTTGTGATGACTTCCAGTCATTAGCTCCCAGGCTTGTGAATCAGCAACACATGTATGAGAAACAGAAACTGAAATCTCAACTTAGAACAATAAGCTCCAGGTCTGTCGAAATCAACAGAATTTTGATAGAATTCCAATGAATTTCCAACTCAGCAGTACCACAAAAATAATCAGATTTTTAAAAACAAATACAAAACAACAAAAAAGTTGAAACTGCAGCTGTGTTTACTTCCTGTAGAAATGCCCAAGTGAATCTACAATTCAGTGCTTCCTGTACAAAAGGAAGTCACTGTCTGAAGTTAGACAGCAAAATCTTATTCTCATGACCAAAATAAAGCTTTGCTTTCTCTGTAAATACAGCATATTTGAATTCAGATATGCAATCCAACTGCAGCTGACCTTCAGTATGACATTCACTGCAGTAGTGCTGCTTATATCGTCTGAATTCAGCCTGACTGCTTTACGTCATGTTTTGACAATGTCCCATCAGATGTGCAAGGAAGATCTTAATTTCCTTTTATGTGTGGATCTCATGAAAGGCAGAAGGATACAAGCTTCTGGGGATGTGACATATTACTGGTTTTCTTAGTAGAATTGTACCAGTCTGTGTCTGACCTTGTGGTTCTCTCTCATTTCCACTGCTTGCGTTCCCCTTGATGGATGAAATTCCCTTTTCTAAACTGCCTCTCACCTTTGCTGCTTTTTACAAGGACTGGAAGTTGCTGCTTCAGGAAACAGCAAATGTCAGACACTGTAAGCCTGAATGCTTCCTTCCTGCCTTCTCTTGGGATTTTCCAGCATCATGGACTCATGGGGACAGCAACTGATGAGCTACATGTCCCTCCGCTCACTCATCCATGAGGCATGTGAGAGAAGTCATCTTCCGTGACAAAACTAAGGACAGGCTAAGCTAAAAGAGAACACCACGTAAATTATGGGCAGTAGTCACAGCCTGCTATTCAACTTCAGCACTGTAATTTTTGTTTACTGTCCAGATTATGGTCATACCAACCAGAGGCAACAGCAGCTGAGGTCAGACCTGCAGAACTGCAATCAGAGGAAGTGCCAGGATGCAGTGTACCTCCCTCCTGAAAGACATGTTCATGTAAGGAGACACTTACAGGTGAGTGGGATTTCTAATCTTTGTTACACTCTATGATGTTGCTGAAATACTTATGCTCAAAGACACTACAATAAAAATGCCAGATCTACCTAACGCAGTTGGATAGTATTCTGCATAAGGTCAATTACAGCAGTGAGATAAATGGGAAACTCCTCGTATTGGTACTAGAGTATAGATTACTGTTCTCAAAGGTCAGATATAAATATTTATATAATTTTAGTTAAAAAAAAATAGTTCAAACAGCAGCTGCCAAAGCATTTTTATACAAGTTTAGGAAACTAATTACTACAATTCACGTGGTTTCTAAGTGTGAACTGTTGTTAGACTTTGTTTCAGGAAGAAATGTCCATGATCAGGTGAAAATGAGGCTTTATCTCAACAGTATTCTTCTCAGGAGGTCAACGTGGAACCTGCTGGCACAATTTGCTGAGCCAGTCAAATGCTCACACTTTTAACGTCAGGGTTTATACAAAGGTGGAACATTACCTGTCTGTTTTGGAACTGCCAAATACTTTTAGTTGCCTCAGTGAATGAGACAACCCCAGACTGCAACTGTCTGTAAGGACGTGAATCCTAGTGGGCATGGTGGAGATGGCTTGATAGTTGCATGAATATCCACGTTGCGTTAATGTTTTAGTAGAGGGTATTTAAGTAAAAGTAATGTCAGATTTTATGTGCAAATATAGCAGAAGAGGAGGTTCTTCCACAGTGCAGTACAGTGGGATGTGGGTATGTGGTCAAGTTTATCCTAGAATTGCTTCTTCCCCTACAGGTTTCTTTGTTCCTAACTTGCCCACAGCCTGCTTTCTCTCTTCCAGTAGACTCTTTGCTTCTACCTTTAATTTTCCAGGTTGAAGGTTTTTAATCAAATAATTGTATTTTACACCATCTGACCTGTGGGTTATACATATAGAGATAAGGTATCATTGGGATGCTTCCTAGGGTGTTAGAAAAGGAGGAATATATTTGGAGTGTCAGCAAAACTTGCTGAAGGTCACAGACATGCAGTGAATTAGAATCAAATTTTTGGAAGTTTTTTAACTGACTGATCTTCCTGTCAGTGCCTAATGTAATGTCCTGCTCATTCAGCTGCTATTTAAGTTACTTGCAAACAAAAATGATAGAGAAAGGAGAAAAGAAGGTTCCCAGGAGCAAATGTAGTTTATCACCTGAAATATAATTCTTACTGATTTTTTTATTTTAATTGAAAAATGAAGCTTAATAATGCAGGAAAAAAGAATCTTCTCAGATAAGAGTTTGGACAGACTTTGACATAGAAAAATCCTTTCTCAAACCAATAAACTTGTGCTTGGAAATGATGAGAAGATAAATATGGATCCCCAACTAACAAACATTTGTTTGTTGTTTTCCAGTTTTGGAGTACTATCTTGGGAGAACCTAAGCAGACAGAAACTTTGTAAAGGTATTTCTCTACTGCTTGTCTGATTTTACTGTGCCAATCATTTCCCTTACTGTAGGGAAATGCTAGCATAAACAGCACAGACTATTCAAATGTCCCTTTGCCTTTTATTACGGCTAGAACACAGTTTGTAAAGCGTTGTGTAATTATTATTGTAATCTAAGAGCAATCCCCATTCTATAGAGGCAGACCCTGAGAAAGGCTTCTCTGCTGTGGGCTGAGTTCTGCACGACACAGCTGACTGCAGGCCTCCTACATTTTGCAGGCTGAGAAGGACCTTCTAAAAGCACTACACAGAGCAAACCGTGTTGGTATTCGCACTGCTTTCACTTCCAGCTGCCATCTGGTGGCCGCCCAACGTAACTTCTCCTATCCACAACAGGACTGATATTCTTACAAGGTGTAAGGCTTTGTATAAAACTGTGTGTTTAGGTTACATCCACAATAATTACACATATACCCGAGGTATCTGTGCATGTACTTTACGGTGCTTATGTAGCTATTCATTTGTGACTTATTGTTTGGAGCAAGTTATTTATCTTGAAATGGCCTGCTGCAATAAGTAGACATGGTCATTGTTAAAGGCTAGCGCATCTGCTAACAAGTGTGTTAACACTTCTAGTTTTGCCTTTAAAAGCAGTCTTTGTTTTAATATACATGAAATAACTTACGCTGAATATCATATAAGAGTTCTGAAGTCTCAACTGATTCAAAAAGAAAATCAAAGGATGTGTGAGGTAGAAGCTACTTAAACTGATTTAATCCAGTTCATCCAGCTGTTCAACACAATAGCACAGTTAATACCCAATAACATATTTTGTATAGTTGCAACATATTGATGCCTAAACATATATAAAATTCGATTTGCAATGTGGTATTTAAAATGCTTTATTCCTCCTGCAGAATGTGTAGAATTCTAAATGGATTTTTTTACTAGTATAAATAAGGAAGCAAACTCTACTGCAAACTACAATCTGATACACACAAAGGTTTGTGCAATCTTAAGTCTGCTGCCATACAAGGACATTACTGGATTCTTTGATTTTCATGGTATGAAAGCAGGAAAACTTTTGTCTTTATTGCTTTTCTGGATATGCTAAAGAGCTGGAGAGTGCCCTTTGGCACTTCAAGTCCATTTAAGAAAGTGAAAAAAACCTGTGAAGTTTTCTGGCTGGTCTTCTCTAGAAACCATCTCAACTGCTACCCAAAGTTATAGAAATCAGTGTCTTTCCAGTCACCAGCTGTAATCAGACTGGGAAATGCAAGTGAGTGAGAGCAAGTATCAGCCTCAAGTAGAACAAGCTAGGTCTAGAACCAAGGCTAATGTTCTTGTATGTACTGATTAGAAGATATTCATTCCAAAACCTAAACAGTGTTTGGATGGATATTATGTCCAAAATGACTGTGACAAAGGTACTGGAGATCCTTGAGAACTGATTCCTTTGTAAGTGTAGAAGTGTAAAGAGTAAATCCACTGCAGATGTACCTTAGTTTTCCCCACCTTGTACAAGTACCAAACACATTCTTTTTGCAGACATAATTTGGTACACTAAACACAGGATGCTCCTGCCACTTGCATGCTTGAAAGACAACATGTTATAGCAAGCCCAGCATACATTTCTCAGTACGGGGCTATGCTCACCTTCTCCTGCATAATTCAAAACTGGATTTTAAATTGGAAGCTGGAGAAAGAGTAATAGGGTAGGCTTGAGTCAGATTCTACACCCACTAACGTGTTAAAATGCAAAGTTGTTCTATGCAATTCATTATCACTACGTATCAGCATACTCGAGTATTATATATACCGTCACCATAAAATGTTGGTGTCAGTATTCTAGCTCCTGACAAATGCGAATTGAGCAAACATTCTGTATTCTTACTGGTGTTCCTGTGCTATTTTTTTTTTTCCAGGAGATAGCACTTAATGCATGCAAAGGTTCAGAAGTATTCATACTGTAGACAGGCATACACAATTCAGAGGTGAGTATGTTGCATGTTTTTGAGAGTCTTACAAAAGTATTTCCTAAGCTTCTTGACTCTCTTACCAGTGCTGACATTGCATAATAAAACACTTCAGAGCAAAATGTCCCAAACTGTTTTTTGTGTCCCTAACAAGGTCAACTATATTCAGTTAACCAACAGAACCTTGTTTTACCTTCCTACAGGCAGCAGACTGCTGCTCCTGCAAAAACACCCTCTGCCTAGAAGTCACTTTGAACCTCTCCTTGAGAAGGCCTTAATGCAATGGCAAAATCTAGACTTTCTTGTGTGTTTTTCTTTTTTTCCCTACAATGTCAACTGGGAAAAAAGCATCTATAAGTCATTTTCTTAAACAGCAAGGACAACTGTTTTGTGATTACTCAACAACACTGTTAAGTCTCATTTTCAAAGTGATGTTGGAACTTGTTGCAGGCCTGCTCATGTCAAAAGAACTGAAGATTGTTTACCTAGATAAGAGCTAACTTTATACTGAACAACTCATTTTTTACTGACACCATGGCTGCTGGCAGCACAGGCTGCAGAAACAATCTGGGACAGCAGTAAAAACTAGGACAGGTAGCCTACAGGTCTGTGCTGCCACAGCAACAGAGGCAACTAGGTGAAGTTGAATTAAGCGAGTCTAAAGGCTCAACAGTTGCACACTCACCCCCTTACCAGCACTGATACAGCCTTAGTTTCCAAGACAAAGCTGCTTAGAAAAGGGTTTGGAAGAAAGTTTTCAAGATAGTTCTTCTCTATTTTCTATTTTTTTCAGGTCATCTGTTCTGTCAAATAATGACAGAGAAAATCCCTCTTGTAGTGCCAAACTTGTCAACTATTCTATTTGATAGCAGTATGAATAATGCAGGAAGAGAAAATATTCTTGAGATGGTTCTGGCAAATTCTATCCCACAGAACACAACAAAGAAAGGTCTCTACCTTGAAACATATTCAGCTCCAGCTATTCCAAGAAAAGGATAAATATTACTATAGTGCTACATGTACATGTTTTCCAAGTACAAGCGTCTGTTCTCAGAGCTTTGCTCTCTGTGGTGTCATCCAAAGCATGAGCTGACTATAGAAATGCTTTTTCTGTATTCCTCATGCCTTTGGAAATAAATATCAAGCCACAGGGAATTGACTAACTTATAATAACATCTGCATTTCCAAGCATTTAGTTCTGACCAACTGCTGCCAGATTTAGAATAGAATTTTCTGTAACTTAAGAAACAAATTCCTACAGAATTCCTGAAAAACATGAAAGCACACAGCAGTATATGCCAAAATCTTCCTAGGAATAGTGACCTATTAACAAGTGCCCAAAGAACAGCTAGTAATTAAAAAGGAGTTCTCCAATCAGTTTTAACTTTATTATCAACTGCAGAGGACTGGAATGAAACATTATATTCTGTTGCTGTTCCATTTACAGGTCTCATTTCACTCCTTTTAAACTTTCTTTTTTTCTTCCTAGATTACCCAGGCTCTGACAGTAGAAGACCATTTTGTACTCTTCCCTGCAAAGAAAACAGTTAGCATTAGGACTCACCTCTGGCACTTCAGCACAGGTCACGAACTATGCACCTTGAAAACCAGCAACAGGTAAGACTCAATTTCCAGTTCCGGAGGGCAGTGTTCTCCCAGATCCCACATTGTAGTTTTAAGCTACAAAAGTAGCTACTCACTATTGAAAATGGTGACGAGAAGGGAGAACCACTTATTTCCACAGATTTCCTACTAACATGAAAACTGCTTCTGACTTGTGAAGCCTGCCTCTATCTGTAGGTGAAAAGCTCAGTTTCCTGTTTTTTTTTTTTTTGTTTTTTTTTTATTATTATTTTTGCTGGTTGGTTTCAAACTGGCATATGGTAACTCCTTCATCTGGCTGGCCATCCTTTTCAATTTACTACTGAGTGATGGCATGATTTAAGCATAAAACAGCTGACCCATTCATGCAGGAAACTCAAAACTCTGCTGTCAACACTCAGAAATCAGAATGACAGAGGCACAATCTCCAAAGTAACAATGGTCTTTGGCTATTAATTTTCTCTTGGTGTATGGTACTTATTGTACAGTAAAATCCCTAATGGCAGTGCTAAGTATTCAAATAAGCACAAGCCTAATTTGTTTTGTGAAGAGGCAGAACCCAGTGCTCTTGTTCATTTTATCAGTAGTGTTAGTGTGTTTTTTTTGTTTCTTTCTTTTGTTGGCCTTTGATATAAATATCACATATTGAAGTTCCTGTTTCCACAGCACATTTCAAATAGTTCCACAATCCTGAGTTCCCTGTTAGCTGCCCTGCTACTAGGTACAGGACAACATTGTTTATTTGTGTAGAGTCCAAAAGTTTTGGACAAGGTTTGATCCAATTGGTGAGATGAAAAAATTGGGCCAGACTGAAAAATTTCTTTCTCTTGAACAATCCAAAGACTTTTGAAACACTTTTTTTTCTTTACTATCATGGAATAATCATGGAATCATTTGAGTTGGAAGGGACAAAGCAGCCGTTGCATAGGTTTCCCTCCTGAGATATCCTGCTGCTGTGATTTTTTTTTGAGGTTTGTTAACTGAAATTGTAATGACAATTATTCACTTTCCTCTGTCATAACCTGTTGACTGAAGTCAGTCTCTCCTGCAGACCACAGTTTTATTCCTCTCATGGAAAAAAGCCAGCTGGATTAAAAGATCACATCCAGCCACTGCTTGCAGGAATCACCAAGATTGGTACAACAAATTCTAGTTTTGGACCTCAGAGGGAAGGAGTGCAATGTGCAAGATGGTGAATATTATTCAAGTCAGATGACACCTTATTTCCTTGACTTTAGAAGACAGGGAAACAGATTATGAGTTTTTGGGAAAGGAAAAACAGCTGTTATTACATCTTTCTAGCTAAGCGAATTAAGAAATATTTCTTATACAGGACCTTAAGTCTTAGAAATTTTACATTATGCATATAAATTATTTTATTTTTACTTGCAAACAGTCATATGGCCTTAAAAAAAAAAAAAGGCAGTGATAGCAGCACTTTGGAGAGGTAGGCTTAAAGTGTTTGGTAAATGGAAAAACATTATTACCTTATATCCATGTTGTTCTCTGTGTATGTCTGCAGCTCAGTGTGAAGTCAAACCAGGAAGAAGAGATCTCACGCTGATCGTTTTTTGAAATCATGGTTCTGCTGACCTGCAAAGGAAAAATAGTAAGATTACCTTTGTTATAATGAAAGTGAGGTTATAGAAATGCTGGGTTTTCAAGTCACAGTGGGATTCCTTCAAGATGCAAAGCACTGAAATAACATGAGAAAGTTCACTAAACAATCTAGAAGGATTTCAGACACAAGACCTATATTCTGCTTCTCTGCATTGCATTTGTTCTCTGCAGTTTCAAACTGCATGCTGTCATTTGGCATGCTATAATATTAGATTTAGCAGTGATGTGTTTTCTAGGCACAGGTGAAATAAGAAAATTGTTAATTCACATACTACAACATTGCTAGAATCATAAACTTCAGTGAGAAATTGCTTTCATATACATTCATTAACCTTTTAGACTGCCTTGAGATAAAACAGTGTTACAATCTAAATCAGTATAAGAATGTGTTGAAAATGGTTTTGCCAATTAAAGGCTGACTCTGCTGTTTTTTGTGGTTGTTTTTTTGTGGTTTTGTTTACTGGCATTTTGTTTTTTATTTGTACTTTAAGTGGGATCCTTCAACAGACCAGAATTGCTGATGTGGAAGAGAACCACTGACATGGTGTTGTGCTTGTATGGAAGGATCAGATAACCAGAGTAAAACAGATCATCATTTATTTGTGGGAATTATTTATAGAATTTTATGAAGGAATCCTTGATTATTGAAACTTAATTACCAACTTTCAGAAATGATTCTGTTCCATTCTGCTACTGAACATTTTTATAACTCTGATGTACCAGCTGGTGGACCATGTTAATCTGTCATTATTATTATTAATAATATTATTTTTGACATAAAAACAGTTTTGGCTCTCACTTTTCTTGAAACAGCTTCTTAGATGAGAATTTCATTTGAAGCCAGACTTCTCCCAGTCTTAATTGTTAATTAGGGAACTGGCACGGAACAAGTGGGAGCAGAAGTTATCTGCTTTTAGACAGACTTTGTTCTTGTATTTGGCTTTCCAACTTAAGTATCTGTAATAGGATGTGATCTTACAGAGTTGCTGATCCATTACCATTGTGTTTACCCAGATTTTTGTCAAGATAATCCAAGAAGACAGTTAGTAACCAATTATAAAACACAGGCAAATCTGTTATTTCATGTTCAAATGAGCCTGAGTTTAATTCTTTAAGTATGTTATTTAATAATTAACTCTAACTCATAATCAGATTTTTTTGACACCTACTCAACTGAAATCAGTGCACGAGTTGAGGTTTTGTATGGATACCTTGGCTAAAAGCATTGTCATAAACTAACTGGGCCACTGCCAAAACCTTGTTATTAACAAACTTAAACTAAAGCAGGCTTATGCCCCAATGTAGGCAAATGCAAAGACTTCATCATAAACCTCTTGTGCGATACAAGCATTTAAACTTTGGGTTTGTTGACAGTTGCAGCTCTTGGGAATCTTTCTGTGATGTGATATTTTAGAGAGATGCTTTTTGATTGAAATGAAGCTGCTTCTGATATGAAAAATTTTGATGCAGAACAGGGATGCGGTGACCTGAAATAAGCATTCATTTTGTCATACCAAACATGCACACTCTTAAGAGGCCACAGTAAGTTGGCGATGTAATAAAGACATCGATGTAGATATGTTGATCACTGTTGTGAAATAGCAAACTGCTTAAAGCTTAAGTGTATTTTGTTACACTTGTATGCCAACCACATTCATTAAAACAGATTTCTATTGTCCTTATCCCTCTTTTCCGTAGTTCTTTTTATATCACAAAATGTAGAATTAGCAACACTGAGCAAGAGCTCTACAGATCTATTAAAGGAAAATACCAGAAGTTGGCAGGTTTTTTTTGTATTTCTTTTTGTATTTCTTTTTCCTTGACTTTATCAGTATGTATTCTTCTTCTTGGAGCTGCTCACAGCCATCTTTTGCTGACTCGTACAAAGACGACCATCCCTTGCCCCTTGCTCCTTTCTGCTATCTATACAGCACTCTTATCTCAGCTGGGATACTTCCTGTAATGAAAGAACTCCTGCACTAGAATTTTTTGAAGTTAATTTGTAGACAATTAATCTGAGGTGCTGGAATGGAGCTTCTGAGAGATTAGTCTTTCCAGTAGAGAACAAAACAAAGCTATAAATACCACTCAATAGTTGTCGCCAACATGTATCAAAATAGTCCCAGACAACAGAGGAAGACAAGTGCATGCTCACAGAGTACTCATTTCCAAAACTTTAAAAATAATGCATTAATGGACTAATAGTGTACACAAAAGAATTTTTACACTGATTAGTCAAAAATGTAGAGCTGGGTAGTTGGATTTGATGACCTTTAAGAGTCCCTTCCAAATGATTATATGGTTCTGTAATTACACAAGCTGAAGCTAACCAAACCTTAAATATTTACATGATATCATTTCAATTCTGCATGATCTTGCAAACACTTTCATGCTACCGCAGCTTCAGTCACTTGTGCTATCCACGTGAGGTTATGTACATATATAAATACTTGTGGGACTGGTTTGTTAGGAAAAGACCTAGCCATCTTCAAGGCTGGCATAGAGAATTCAAGTTTCTTCACTGCCAATTATTTGATAATGATGACATACATCCATTAAGTATGCTTTCCCCTAGCAAGTGCTTTCCCCTTTTCCTAAGACTGTTGCTTTTTTTTTTTTTTTTTTCATGCATGAAAAACACTTTTTTCCTTCTTTTTCTCCTACCCTCTCTGCCTCCTTTGTAAAATATTATTCTGGAGCTCAAAAGCACTTAGTGGAGTTTCTGGTTTTTTTCTTCATCAAAAGAAATAAACCCCTGCTTCCCTCACTTGGCACAGCCTTTAGTGAGGATATGGTTGACTTGACAGCTGGTATGTCAGCAAAGTTAAACAAAACTCATGGATTTTGAAGGTAAGTTCACCATAAATTAAGCTGCCTGATGAGGTCTGCAGAGAACATATTTAATGAGTTGTGTTATATTAAAGGTGCAGTGTAGCTGCAAGAGTATGTTAACTGTAAATGCAGTGTGTGTTTAAAAAAATGGGCTGCTGATCACTGAAGAACTGCATTTTTCTTAATCCCAGTGTGAGAAAAATGGTGGATAAGAAGTTCAGACGTAATACTTCTGGTTCTTGCGTTGATAGGAAATAATTTGTGATGGGTATTTTGCTGTTTCCTGCCTTTATTTCTCTTCTTCCAAAGATACATCCCAGGTAATATTTAGAGATCTTTATCCCCAAACTGCAGTCTGCACAGGTCATTACAGTTGGCTTTTCTTGTTCCACAGAAGTAAGAGATGCAGAGGACAAGAGGTAATGGCCTTAAGTTGTGCCATGGGAGATTCAGGTTGGATATTAGGAAAAGGAATGTGGGCATGGGGGGGTGGGCTGGGTTTGGACTTAGTGGTCTTAGAGGTCTTTTCCAACCTTCTTAATGATTTATGGTCAGTTGAAGGAACTGTGTACTCTTCCAACCAGGCTGAATTAAATGGCAGTCAGTGATTTAGAATAAAAACTTCACTCTTTGAAATATGATAACCTTCCACAGTATTTCGACACATTTCCAACTGTTGGTCTTGAACTTTCCACATAGCAACAATACCCACATGAGCAGAAAACACAGCTGAGTTTTCCCGTCAGAAGTAATCTGGCAGTACTCCAGAAAGGTCTGTACAATTTGTTCGTTCTTTAGGTTTCAGAGAAAAGTGCTTGTATGAGTTAACAGAATGACTACCAAAATTATATCTCCTTTTCCTTTATTGACTAAAAAAGGCTTTATATATATATATATTTTTTTTTTTTTCCAGTTAGAAAATTCAGTAAAATGTTACCTGCGGTGGGAGAGGGTGTAAGGGTAGGCACTGAACTACCTATTGTTTTCTATTCTATGCTGGCAACATTTTAGCTGCAAAACAGTATTCAGCCCTAAGCATGCACTGAGGAGAACCCAGAAGAGAAGGGCTGGTAAGAGTGAGGAAACCTGACAAGTAAGGGCAAGTTGATAAAATGGTGTTTGTTTGGTCTAGCAAAGCTGAGGCGAAGGAAGATAGAACAGTCTGGAACAGAGGTAGTGAACATCCAGTGATGAAAACAGAGTCTGGCACCAACCACCAGTTGTCTGCCCTTTATGACAAAGGAGTAGCTCTCAGGCAGGTGTTCAGAAGACATAAAAGACAGCCTTCCTCCCCTCCCACAGCCAGAGCAGAGCATATTCATAGACTATTTTCTACCCAAACAGGAGAGCTTCAGCAGACTAAATTAACTTAAACAGCAGTGATCTGCTAAGCATTTTCCCTCCATGTGCCCATTAGGTATCTCAGGATCTGCTTATGCAAACTACAAATCACATGCTTAACTAAGATGATTTAGGGGAGAAGTGAATGTCTTTTTGCTGAATGAATATAAATAACTGCACTGTAACTTAAGCAGTATTTACTTCTACTAGCTACAGGCTAGCTATGAAGTCATGCCTGTTTGCAACTCAGCTATCTGGAAGACAGAATAGAGAACATCCTCAGTTTTCTCTTTATTGGCTATTGGGTAGGATGGGGGGAGAATTCTCAACATTAAAATATTTTCCTCTCTCTTTTTTGTGTGAAATCATAGAAGAATCAAGAAAAAGTGACTATGTACTATGTTACAATGCAAATGAAATCATAGGAAAACAAAAAAAAAAAGAATACACGATTTGTGTTGAACTGGTAAGACCTCACACAGAAATATGATTGTTTTCCAAGGGACTGCATGTCTTAGACAAGTTGCCCTTGTCTAAGTATACCGTATACTATACCCTGAATGAGACAATCTATAGCCAAAGTACTTCAGCTCAGGGAAGCTTCCAAAAAGAGAGTAAATACTTCTGTCTTCTTCCTTCTGGTCTGACTTGTGGAGCTGGTTCAAATGCAGTCCTCACAGCTCCAGCTAAGACCTGTTCTTTCAGCTAAAATTAATTGTATCCTGGAATTCAAGGCTATAGGTAAATTTATTTTACAGAAACCTCTCACTTAGGTATAGAATTAACTAAATAGAATTAAATATTTAAGAGAAGGGAAATACCAATGCTGGTTTAAATTATCATGTATTTAAATTATCATTTATTTCAAACCCAAAATTTGATAGTCTGTGGTTTTGTTTTTCTGTATGAAAAAAAGTAATGGGGCAAAAGTTTGAAAAGCTCAGCTGCTATACTTTGCTTTAGTGTGTTTAATAAGGATGTCAGGGCTATTCCATTATTTGTATGTCAATACAGGGATTTTTTGCTCCCCTAAGGCTTATTTTTTTTTTCTTGTTCTTTTAATCCAGTCACAACTCTTGTTCTCTCTGCCCTAACTGGCCACCTGGAAGTGAGAGCTGTCATTTCTTGCCAGGTGTTCCATATGGTTGTCTTCAGTAGCAAGAGAAGATGCATGCAGAGCCAGTGGGCCTTTTTTGTTGGCCAAAGGAAGGCTTTTTAAAGAAAAAAAAAATACAATTACCTGTATCTCACAGCTGTAATTTTACTGTACAGGATACAGTAGATTCAGCTGCAAGAGCACACACAGCAGCTGGCTTCTGCCTGTTTCAGTCAACCACTGAATGTAAATCTGTCTTTGATTTTTATTCTAATGAAAAAGATAAAGGGTAAGTATAACGTGCATTATTCCAGCATCCAATAACCCAGAAGAACAATTTCTCCAATAATAAAACACTTCAGTAATAAACTGCAATAAGGACAAACATAGAGTTGTTCTTGTAACATGGCACTGAGCAACCCACACAATCAATCTCCTGAAGTGTGAGGTGAGGACACGTACAGGGCTCTAGCCATGAAGTCTGTTGCGTGCAATGACACTGATGACCCATTTTAACAATTAACCTGGCTGCCTCCTACAGTTTCAATGTAAGCTGATGTCTTCCAAGTTTCTCCCAATAGTGACACTGAGGTAAAAATATCTGCCTGACCTCCACAGGCAGTAATGTGACACCAAAAGCGGGAAGGTTTGATCTCCTTCATCGTGCAGCCTCAGCTCTGCCATAGAAGCCCAAGCGATCGCTCTCACTTCACTTACTCTTACACATCCATATGAAAATAAAGACATCAGTGTCACCAATGGTGCATTATCAGCACTCTATCTCTCATTAAATCAACATTACTGGTATTCAGGATGCTCTAAGTTTGTGGGATTTAAGCTGTGGAAAATAATACTGAAAAAAAAAGAGCAGTAAAGTGTAAAAAGTAACCATTTTCTTCTGGAACTAGAATATAAGGACATGCAGCACAGCTCTGATTCTTTTCAGAAGTTTGATTTACAGCAATTCACAGTATGTGATTGGGAGGCTGAAAAGGCTTTTCATAGTTGTGGGGATCTTGCATAACTCAGGAAACTCTGGGTAGTTCTTAATTAGTCCACTACGATTTGCTCTGTGGGACAATATGCATCAAATAATCAAGAGCCAAGTGTGGAACAAAGGAGCAAAGTGCAAAATACACACAAATAGACTGCTGAGAAATCATTTCTGTTAGCAGAGCCAACCATAATTTTAACTTTAGGGCTGAATACCTTCTAATTCTGGAAAAGAACAAATCAGAAATTGGAACAACTGTGCTGGCAGACAGAAGACTAAACCCATTAACAGGGCTATCCTATTGATTGCAAAGGCAAATGGACTGGCAATAAATCCTCCTGTGCTACAACAAAATGCAATTCCCCTAATCTTCAAGACTCTTTTAATGTTAAAATGGTTTGCATCTCAATTCTTACGGCTTGTTTTTAAATATCAAGGCATATTCTGAAAATCTTGCTCATGGGGCATGCAGTCTTGGACAAGAGACCTGATCTCATCTTTGTGAAACAACATTGTTTTGATTACTTTACAGAGAATGCCTATGCTATGTAAACTCATGAATTAGACCTTATATAATAGTCCCAATTTCTAAATATTCAAAGCAGTGTTTACTACTCCATTCACTTCTGCTTATACGTAAAATGTATTAATTCAGGCCAGTATGCAAAGGCATAACATCTGGTTTGCCCACATTGTGTGGGAATCTATACAGAAAGGTCTCTGGGTTTACATTTGGGAAAACTTCACTTTTAAACACAGCCTAAATTTGGAGCAAATCTAACTAGCTGATCCTGAAGGAGGATTCCGAAAAGTCTTGGCAATAAAGGCTTTCCTTATGATCAGTTCAGTCAAAAATTGTTACTGCTGCCCAGAAGTATGCTACATACATGCTAGAAGCGTGCTGTTTTAAGTTCTTTACATAACATGAAAGGGAATTCTTTTATAAATGTATAAAATTATTTCATTACACAAACCTTACAGAATAATTCAGTAATTAGGAGAAAAGTAATACTGAAAGCAAAGATGCATCAGTGGGGTCAGAACTGATGGAGCCATACTGTAGAACAGGGAATTAATGCAAAGTAGCTCTGCTAAGGAACATCTGGTAGAATTTTAATTGCAAAGTCTGTGCTCAGCATGGTAACACAAACAAAGTGATGACATTGGCTTCAGCCTCTGGTAGCAAGCTGCCTGCTAATAGGCTATCAGTGTAACCACTACTGAGCATTAGGAGACTCCTCTAAGCTTCCAGACTCCTTTTAACAAGAGAGATAGGCAGATATTGCAAGGGAAGAAGGTACATCTGAAAAGGATTGATGGCAACACAATGGAATTTGTAACATAAAGGAATTTTGCTGTTTGAAGAAAGACTGAACACACAAATTAGAAGAGTGAGAGTTGTGTAATATGAAAACAACAACAAAACATGCAACAGATGTCTTCAAACTCACATCCAAAAGGAATGTATCTAAATACAACTGGGCTATAAATACTACTACTCTTGGGCCCTAAATCAAGAAAAAAATATTTATTTGTCAGAAACATTTTTTACTGGTAGAAATCCTCCTTACCGTGTTTTTTTTATATATAATCTTTTTTACTGGCCTTCAAAACAGACAAGGACAAATAGCTTTATCTTTAAAAATCCTTGCAGCTTTTTAATTCCTGGCGAGACAGTGATTGCAAGTCCCGTGCTGTTTTGCAAGCAAGTGAAGCCAGTGATTCATTCCCTCACATCAACACACAGCCAGAGCCTTATGAAGGTAATTCAGTACAGGTAAGACAACCTGCAACAAAGGACAGGGTCTCTGAGCTGAATGTTTTACTTGTCTTAATGTCAACCTGTTTCTTCAAAAATAAGGTCATTTTTTTCCAAACAATGAAGATTTGACCAGGGAAGACAGGAAATATTGCACATTCCACTTATAATAGAGAAGATTAGAGTAGGAAACAGTAAAATGAAAATAGCTTGGGGCATTAATCAAAAGAATGCTGAATGAATACTAGAATCCTTTTGTCTGATTATTTATATATTTTTTTTCCTGTTTCTTTTTTCTCCTAGCAAGGTTTATTGGTAACACTTAAAAAATTGTCCATACTCAGAAGATATCCATCTCTACTTTTACCTTGCAGCATGGACAGCACCGAAGACAAAGAGCTTGTAACCACGTGCAACAATGATGTGTATGTGTAACAAATAATAATAATAATAAAGTAACTTAAATAAGCAATAAAATTTTGATGAGAGCAGGTGAGGCAGTGAAAAGGACCAGACAGTTGACAGGTAACAGAAGCAGGCAGATGATAAAATGAAAAGATGAAGTGCTGATGCTTACATTACAATCTATCTTAAAAACTTGCAGTAGAGAGGAACTAAG